TCCTTGTAGCAAAGCCTGAGCTCCCACGGCCAGCACGGTCCAGACCCCCTGCCCTCCCTCCTGCCTGGGGCAGCTCAGGCTGGAGGATATGTTCAGATCTGGCCCTCAACAAACCTGGTGGTGCTTCTCTTCAGAGTCCCAAAGCCAGAGATCAGTGCCTGAAGGACGTTTTGTGACAGGATGTACCCTGTCTTTCACAGTACAGCTGCCATGGCACCAACCTCTGAGTCATTGAAATGCTTGAACCCCCAAGAGTGGAAATTCTTGTAAATTTGGTCCCCAGCTTTTGGTCAATAAAGATTTTGGGCTTCTGTGGCCACCCTGTTTGTTGGTCACAAGAGGGCACAGGCTCTGTTCTGAACATTGCTAAGCCTGACCTTGCCAAATGTGTATCTAAATATTCGAGCTGATTCTTATCTGCAGGCAGCAGTTCAGTGTGAAGTCAGTGCAAGAGTTAAAAATAAGCAATACTTTTCTCTGGCTTTAAACTCAATTGAAAATTGTGGCATTTTATTTTCAAATGAGCTTCTGTTTTTCAAACCCTCATGAGCAAAAGCATCTTACAGAGAACAAAAGAGTTGAAAAACAATGGCATCTATCTGGGCTTAAGCTAATAGCATGGGAGACAAATGGGTAATCAGGGCTTTGCTCTGGATTTACCTATTACCTACCCAAAAAAATTACTACAGGAGCTCACTAAGTGTGTATCAATGTGGTCAGTGAGGAAACCTCCTAATATTGCCCTGTATAAGGCATGCAAAAGGAACAAGTCACTAAGAACGCTTTAAAATATTCCACACAAATGTTCTTGAAACAGTTTTGCCAGTAATTCCAATAACAAAGTCAAAGCCTGAGCCCACTTTGAGTTGCCAGCCCCTGGGATGACAAAGGAAATGTCCTGGCTCCCTTTTGGGGAGATGCAGTCACAGTCAGCCCTGTGAAGTCGTTTAACTCACGGGGCAGGAATTGGAGCTCATGCCACACACACAGCCACGCTCAGGGCTTGTGTAAGTGAGTGCAGCCCCGTGCTAGTGGCTGGAGCCAAGCTGAGCCATTGTCCCTGGGCTGTTCTCCTCAGAGCAGAGCAGAGTGACACATTTAGTGTCTGTTCAGCGCTACTGCAGAGCTCAGTGTGGGTAGCCCAGCTCACTGTGTGCTGTTTTCCCTGCCAGGGGTGATCCAGACAAGTGTGACATCTGGGGGAACACGCCCCTGCACCACGCTGCCTGCAACGGCCACATCCACTGCGTCTCTTTTCTGATCAACTTTGGTGCCAACATCTTTGCTCTGGACAACGACCTGCGCACTCCCCTGGAGGCAGCTGCCAGCAGGGACCGCAAGGAGTGTGTCCAGATCCTGGACAAAGCTGCCACCGAGCAGAACTTGCTGAATCCAAAGAAGGTCTCCAAACAAAAGGCACAGGCCCAGAGGAATGTCGAGAGACAAGTCAAGGAATGTGAGAAGCGCCAAGAGAAACACCAGCATGAAATGAACCGAAATTATATTAAAGAAAAGGTTGGCACAATGGATTCTTCCAAAGGAACACACTCCAGGGTAAAGTTGCCCAGTCTATTTGCTTCAAATACCACAAGTACTTTAACTAAAAACCTGAAAGATACCTTGAAACTCAAGACAAAAAAGACAGGCAACAGCACAAGAAGGCAGGAAACACAAAGAAATGACCAAGAGGATGATACCCATAGGAGAAGTGTGATGCATTTGTTTGATGAGAAAGAGGAGGATGAATTACTGAATGACCTTGAAGAGAAAAACCTTGCTGGTAATGACAGTCAGCTCTCCATTTTTCAGAGGCCAGGTCTTGGCAAGATTGTGTTTGGAAGGAATTTGGCTGCAGAGGTAAATCCTGAAACAGTGTCTTCTGAGAAAGAAGGTACAAGTATGACAATGGCCAGTGAGCTCTTCCAGTATGAAAATGCTGAGAATGGAAGGGAGGATGATGATGAAAACAGTGCTGGTGTCCCTTGGAATGAGGAAGAAGTCATTTGGGATGATGAGGAAACAGAGAATACGCCCCTTGAGGTATTTCTGGCATCACAGATGCTGGATGAATTTCTTCCAGTCTTCATGAGGGAAAAAATTGATTTAGATGCTCTGATGCTATGTTCTGATGAAGATCTACAGAGCATTCAGATGGAGCTTGGGCCAAGAAAGAAAGTCTTGAATGCTGTGAATAAAAGAAAACTGGCACTCAAGAACCCTGGAAAAACAGTAGATACTTGTTTATAAATTATTATATCTGTTGTTGTAACCTTCACATTGATTCATTACCTTTCCCTCTCCAAAGAGTGTGCAACTCTGCTCAGAAGTTTGCTAAAGCAAAAGGCAGAGAGGTTACCAATTGCTTTAGGAAATACAGCAGGGATAACATTTTTCTCTCTGGATGGGTAGTTGTGGTAAACAGAATATTAAGTAAAGTATATTCTGCCAAAAAGCAAGAATGTGAAGGTAAAAACCCAAAACCTTCTTCTCCCTACTGTTTATGTGGATTGTATTTCTTTTGGTCCAGATAATTTCAAGCATCAGTGAAGGCCAGGCCCACTGCATTCCTTAATAAAGGCCTTCCTTTCTTCTCCAAAACCACAATGCAAAGAGCATTCTCAGAGCTTGAGAGCTTTGAGTTTTCTCAAAGCTTGCTTCTGTAAGATCAGTAAAACCACTCTTCCTGGTACTGATGGTATGTTAGAAAAGGAATCTGAATCTTGATTTTAGCTGTGGTTTATTGGCTCTAATCACTTCTGAATTAATGTAAATAAGACTAATTTACATCAAGTTTCATATTTTTGTTAGTAAAGTTTGTACTTCTGTATTGACAATAATTTTAAAATACATGGAGTATCTTCCCAAGAGATGTTCAGTGTCAGTTGTATATTCCTTTCTCATCTAATTAGACTGGATCTAGTTGCCTGGACTCATCATGACCTAAATATCATCAAGGCTGCAATACTTTTAACTACAAGAAGCTGAGGTTTAACTTTCAGAATTTTGGATCTATTTTGGTACACCCTCAACTTGGTTCCTATAAGGCTGCATTTTCCATGCAAAGTCCCAGAGATGAGGATTCATATCACACACCATTTTCTGTGGGTTGTTGTCAGCCTTAGCCTGAGAGCTGTGTATCACACACACACACTCTGAAAATAAGTTCATGAAAATAAAAAATGATCTGTGCTGCTGTGGAAGTTTCTGCTCCTCACAATCTATCTGGAGGCATTCACAGCAGGGTTCCCCTGTTCCTTTGGGAAGCCAGCACTATCAGATGTAAATTAATCACTCCTGTTGAGTTTTGTGAATCTAATAAAGTACTTGCAGTAGTCATGCTCTGGCTAAGATCACAGATTTTAGATGCACATTTATTAGCAGAACATTTATCTTTAAAGATCTTCTAGCTTTCCATTAGCCAGCTATGATTTTTACTTAGGGGTATGCTGCATTTGTGGACACTAATCCTGGTTAATGATCTGTTTTTTCATGTTTCTTCTTTCCATATCATCTTGATTGATTTCCATATCATCTTGACTGTGATTTGTGTATTATATTATCTTTTCTTGGCTGGACTTTATACTGCATTCTTCCCTGCTTGGATTCCTGTGCACAGCAGGCTGATATGTTATATTAAGCAATCACATCGAAGTCCTGTTCTGTGCAACCTTCCACGATTGCTGTGCTCAGCAATCCAGACACCTCCCCCCCAGACTCTGCCTGCTTGTTTTCATTTTGGCTAAGAAACACCCAAATGTTTAACAAATCAAGAAGGAACCATTACCCTTTCATATCTGAAGGCATATGACAGGTGGATTTCCAATCCCCATCTGCTGGAGGTGCAGATGCTTCCCGTTCCTGCTGAGGCCAGCCCAGCCTCATCCGCCTCTGCATCCTCCAGTCCCTGCAGCAGCTGAATCCCACTCCCCCAGCACACAGGGCTGACACAAGCTCTGTGCTGCTCCAGTGACTCCTCTCTGCTGCAAAGTGCTGATCACGATGCTCCTTTTTCAGGCCAGATTTTAAATAAGTGGGTTGGATTCAGCTGTCCAGGAAGTGCTTTCAAAAACTCTAAGCATGAAAATGCCTGTCACCAATGGGAGGTTATTGCAGGTAGAGGAGAAGGCACTGCAGGGTGAATCAGGAAACAAAGGTCACCAAATTGCACTGAAAATCTGCTTCTGTGCTTCCTCATCTGCAGCCTGTGGCAGCCAGAGAGAAGAGCAGGGACCATCTGCACATAAACAACTCAGCTGTCACAGGCCTCCTCAGTGCTCAGGCACCTCCTTAGGTACTTGCAGCTACTGTGCAGCTACAAGGAACAGCACCAGACCTGTAGGAGTTCCTTGTCCTCCAGAAACTGCATCAAGAGACTAAGAAACCCCAGGGCACCCCATATGACACTTCCTTTTAGGCAACTGAATAAACTTCTAATTTTTATTCTTTTTAATTAAAAAAAAGTGCAATAGTGCTAACCCTTTTCTTATGGTATGGTATAAAATAGCCCTGCAGAAAAAAATTAATTAATAGAAAGGAAGACTCACAGTTCATGGTTTTTCCACTCATGTGCTTTGCTGTTTTCAGATTTTTTTACCGAGCCCTTGTTTCCTTTAGAGTTTGGAAGCACTGGAATCCTAGCTGTGACTCCTTAGGAACATTTGTATAGCTCAGTTCAGCTGGAGAGGCTTTATGTATCACATGTGCAATCCCAGAGCAGAACCCAAACCATAAAACCAGGCAATCTCACATGAGCACAGCCCTGCCAAGTACAAGGTTCTCCTTCCTTAAGGATTTAATACTCTGCACTGCACAGACATGAAGAAAATGTGCAGCATGGGACAACTGCAAAACTGAATATCACAGAGGAACAGAGCACTCCCTATTTCTTCTATTTACATTCACTGATCACATTTACTGAGAAATTAGTCACTGCAACAACTTGAGAACTTTATTTCTTCAAATAAATCAACCATAAACCAGAAAAGAAATGGACAACAAAATGGAAGTCAAAGAAAGACAGCAGTATCTATTTTATTTTAATATAAATGCAAGTTACACAATTTCATGATCCGCTAATTTGTAAAGAGAAGGAAACACAGAAATTGATGCAATTACTTCCCCTCAGAAAATCTAAAGGTGGCATCCAAGTAATTCCCATTGAACTGAACTCTGACATCAGAGATACAACACTGAAGCCAGACTCACAAAATCTTCCACAGCCAGTGGGGCTCAGAACAATGTGGGTTTTCAGAACCAGGTCTTTGGACTGGCTCCATTTATTTTTTAAAGTGCATAGTCTGTAGGGGAGTACATGGGAAAAAAAACTGGACTTGTCTTCTTCCCAAACACTGTGTCTCACAATTCAAATTACAAATCTGGTATAACACTGGCACAGAACTGGGATAATAATGTCATAATTATTTATTGCAAATTTCCATGGAGTTCTTGAGTAATGGAGCATCATTTACTTTCATGTTTACCTCAGGTTAGTGTAGTTCTGCGTGACTGAAGTAACAAACTAAGTCAACACTTAAACTTCCAAACACTTCAATGAAATGACAGAGAAGAAACAAGACATGTAAAAACAGAGAAGTAATTTTGCTACAATTAAAACACAAAAGCTCATAGACAAATGTCTGTTGTTCTTTCTGATGGAATAAACAGGATCAGTGGAGTTCAGTTTGGATCCACATTAAATATCCTTCAGCCCTCTTAGTGGTCTGCTACCTTTCTATACTACCTCTGCCACTTAGTACATTTTCCAACTAGCTTACACAAGGCTTATAACTGGGAGTATTATTTACATCACACCTGCACTATACTCATTAACCTCTTCTACACTTACCTATGCACCCTCCAGGGCTTTAATGCCAGCTGCTCCTGACCCTCCTTCCTGTTGCTCAGCTCTGTTCTACTGGCATGTTATAAAATGCCCTGTCATCCAACTCCTGCACAGCATGCAGAAACACTTAATAGCCTGCATGAAATAATATGCAAATAGAAATAAAATTTCACAAGACACAACTTGTGAGCCTGAGACAGGAATTTGTTTCCAGGGCAATAGCTGATTTTCAGCAGATGCTCACTCTTTTGCAAGGCAGTTGCATAACAACACAAAACTGGAACTTTTCCTTATGTCACTGGGTTCCTCTGCCAGGAAAGGACCATGAAAATTCCTGCCCCAGCTAATATCTGTGATAATAGAACAATTAGCAATTGAAGCATAATACAGCCAAAGTTAAAATACTTGGCTGTATACTTGAAATCAGTTTGTGTGGTTACATCCTTCAAGAAGCTTAGAAAAACAACTTAGAGGCACCATAGATTAATAGCAAAATCTCCTTACAGAACACAGATAAAAGTTAAATCAAAACACATATTCTCACATTCTGTGCAACTCCTTGCAATATGAAAACAGCAATATCCCAGCGAGGCATGTAGTAAGGGAGGTACTGAGCAGAAATCTAGCTGTATGGAGGTATGGTTATTTACATAAACCCCCACTCAGAACAGTGCTGTTAAGAAAAAAACCCACTGAGTCTGAGGGCAAAGGAAGGTGGATTGCAAGGGGTGAAAAAAATGGTGACTTGCAGTGTGAGCTGGAAGGGAAAGTGTGTCCAGGAGTTAGAGGTGGGCTGTACCTAGGAGGCTGAAGACAAGGTCACTGTCACTGGAGCACTGAAATACACAGTTGCAATTAAAGTACCATCACAGGTAAATATAATATGATGCCAGAGTCCATTCTTCAGACTGATGTATTTTATGCCAGAATTAATTATCCCTCTAAAAACTATGAAATCTACACACAGGCTTCTGCTACATAAATAATTAGGGAGGAAAGGCATTGATTTCAGAATGATACCAAAATATGTAAAGATACCCTTGTTAGTATCACTGCAAACATCCAATACTTGCTGTTACAAAAGAGAGACATTTATTAGCAATACTGCAAGTGTCTAATACTTGAAATTAGAGGAATTTAGAAATTAGTCTATTGCTGAAATTTTACTTTTCCTTCTTGAATGTTCTAGAAGGGCCACATTCAGATAGGATTGATGCCTTTCTTGTTAACACAGGATTCAAGGAAACTAAGTGCAAATTATTTTCTTGGCCTCATTGGCATTGTATACCTCTCTCTTCAGTTACCAGCTGACCATGCATCATAAACGAATTTTGCTGCTACTGTGTCTTCAACTGCCATCCCTGAAAAAGAATTGAAGTTACCTTCAAACATTTATTCAGCTGTATGAACAATTTTGTTTCAGAAACGAACAGGAAGACTAAGGAGATTATCTAACTGGACAGGAACAGGAATTATTTCCCATCCCAAACACCTACAGTGTTACATTCAAAGTCCATAACCATCATGCCGTGTTGGGTGTGCTGTAAGAAGTTAATGTAACAGTGGGACTCTAATTTTCAGTTCATATCACAACTGGGCCCTTTTGGAGATGTCATGTAGCTCAGAGCATGGTAATTCATCGCCAGTGCCACCCTCTCCCAAACCCCAGCCCCACAGGACACTGTCACATTGTCTCAGGTCAGACAGACCCCACGGGTGGAACAGCGGGGCAGTCGGGCTGGAGCTCTATTAATAAATGCTGCAGTCATGTCTTGAACAACTGTGAAATGGAAAATGGACTTCTATTGTTTGCCTGCTTTCCTATCACTTTTCATTACATCAATCCTGCTAGATAAATAAGAAAGGAAATAAAAAGGGAAAATGCAAATCACAGTCTACTTTCTTGTGGATAGTGCCTTGCCACAGCGGTTCTGAAGATGATCAGCAGCTTTCCCACGCATGGGGGACCTAATAAAGAACAAGGCATTGTTTTCTGTCAGACTTGGACACAGGAGGGGCTGTTCTTACCCAATGATTTAAACACTGTTGTTTTCTCAGGCAGGGCTGGTTTTGTACCCTTCAATACCTCCCCCAGCTCAGCAAAAATCTCCGCCTGTGAAAAAAAATACATATTTATACAAAAACATAATACCCATACATACATTGGGAGGGGAAAAAAACCCTTTTCTTCTAAGTGACTTCAAAAGAAAGAACTCCTCCAGCGCTGCATCCCAAAACTGATTACTTTCCATGGTGAAGCAGATCAACATTCAGACAAATTATATAGAAACTGGACAGAAATCAGAGGAGCAGAATAGTTTTCAAAGAAAAACAGCTGGCAGACTTTCCTCAGCCAGCAGGTTTTTTTACAGTGGATAGCTTGTTACTTGTCCAACAAAACACATGGGATTCCTCACACATTACCATATCTGGAGCTCTTATGTTAAACCTCAAAAGTGTAAATCATATTTATTCTGCAGACACATTAAAAGAGAAAAAGAAAACTCCATTGAACCTCAAAGAGTCCCTGCTGGCAAATCTGTGCAGATCATTGTCTGCTTTGCTTGTGTGGTCCATTCTTTGGGCTGGTCCATTCAGTGCCCAAGGAGATGCCAATCACACTGAAATCTCATGGGAAGAAAGTTACAGGTTTTAATAAATATCTTTGAAGAATATTTATGATAACCAAACACTGCAGGAAATGTAGCTCTTTCAACAGCAATACATTGTTATCACCAAAAGCCAATGCTGAAAACACGCTACTTGGTTTGCATGGTCTGGTCACGGGCAGAGCAGTCACAGTTTGAAACCAGTTTATCTTTCAACCCCTGCCTGGAAAGTGTTAACAATTACATTTGGTGCCCTAAAGGTCTCAGTGCAGGACATCATCAATACCAACTCATTTCAAATGCAAACTAATTGCCACAAAAATAATCATTTCATTTCATTTCATAAAGTCTTACCCCTGATAAAATAACATCTCCTGATTCTGTGAGAGCAGCATCCCTGGAGTCCACAAACAGAACGGAATTCTTCATCAGCTCATCATCCAGTTCTCTCCAGTCTGGTCTGCTTGCTCCAACAGCTAAAGGAACAAAACTGATGAACTTGGGAGCAATTTTTACAACAAATTTAAGCCCCATTTTGTTCAAAAGACATATGTGAAGCAACAATCAATGCTATTATGGAAATGTACAAAAAATCCAGTGTTAGTCTTGGAGAAATACTGATTGATAGGACAACAAAAAACCATTCAAGATTTGATATGCCAGTAAAATATCCTTGTCAGAAGAATCTGAGTAGCTGAGGCAAAATAAAGTCCTCTCCCTTTGTTATATCTTATACCCTTGTTTTCATCAGACCATTGCCAAATGAACTTTACACACCTTTATTAGATTATCACTTACCCAGAGAAGCTGAAAACAAATCACAGAGCTTAGTTTTTATACAGAGCACCAAGATCATGATCAACTTTTTATGAGCTTAAAAACATGCAAACAAGAAACCCAAAAAAACTAAAAGGACTACCCAGTTACACTACATTCTGATATTCTTTATATGTCTAACTGTTAAGGAACAATAAATTTGCATTTGATAAATCTGCATTTGTTGCTCAAATGCCTCTTCAAACAGTACAAATGCCTCAATGAAGGGTAAAAAAAGGCAAGGAAAGGAGAGAGGTCTTTGTGTCTGTGTCGCCTCAGTGACTGTGGACCTTAATTGATTTTGTTTTATTTCTGGCTTCCGTGCCATGACACAACACAGACAACAACTTTCAATGACAAAGGACTAAATCGAGTTTGAAAAATTGGTAGGATGCTGCTGGAATGTGGGACCTTCCTTTAAATTGTTCCCTTTGAGAACTTGCTTTTGTCTTATTACTATGCTATCTGGAAAGTGCACAAGGTCATCTGAAAAAGGCCCACAATTAATAAAAATAAACAAACAAAGGCACATCCAGAGACTCCAAACAATAGTGTGGCAACATCATTACAAGGCGGGCAACAAAAAAAAGCACCCCTCCAAACCTCATTATAATTAAGAGGTTAAATTATAATGCTCTTAATTCAGTTATTGCATCTTCATAACTCCAGTAAAAAAAGTAAATTAGTGTGATCAGCCCCAAAAGAAACAAATAGAGGAAATTACAAAATTGGTAGAAGAAAAGATGACACCACCAGACAATATTACAAGGAGCAGTAACTACTTAGAAATAAGAACATTTGTGTGGGTTATTTAAATGGAGAGAAAGGTGAGAATAATGACAACGTGAGGGCAAAGATGATGCACCACTAAGAGTAAAGAGCAAATCCCATGCTCTAGCAAAAATCCCCTGCTGGATTATGCAGGCATTCTGGCTCCAGAAGGATAGGGCTGGGAAAAGTAATCCTCACTAAAGAGGAAAAGTCAAAATGGAAAGAACATTCATTCCATGAAGCACAGATAACTGCTTTCCAACAGATGGTGATGCTAAACAATGTGCTAATAACCACCTGCTGTACACAATGGGAACAGAACATACCATTGATGTGGGCACCTGGCTTCACCCAGTCTCCAAATAAGATGGGAGTTGTTGCCATAGTGACTGTCACAATCACATCAGCCCCTGTCACCGCCTCCTGGGCAGAGGAGCAGACCCGCACGGGACCGCTGACAGAACTGGCAAACTTCACTGCCTTCTCCTTGGTGCGATTCCATATCCTCACCTTCAGGGAGAAAAACAAGGGAAAACAAAACACAGACAGATTAACTCGGAGAATTTCTCCTTGCTGAAACAGAACACTTAATTTTTCAGTAGAGAGTTAAGCATTCCCTAAAGGTTGGAGATTTTTTCCCCCTTTTATGTTTTTATACAAGTGAGTAAATTTGCTGAGTGTTCACCTGCATTTGAATGCCTGTTTTGTGATGCCTCGTTGTAGAGCTGGCTTATATCACTAAAATGTTATAAAATAACACATAAAAAATACACTTAAAGGAAAGTCACAAAAAGTTTACCCAAGTATGCCATATAAAGTAGGATCTTCTCAGACAAAAAGCTATCTGAAACAACTTTGATTCCAACCCCTTTTTAAATATCAACATTTGAGCAAGAAATTTTTGCTGCTTCTGCTGCTTACTGTTCTCAGGTTCTGTAGAAACAAAATATGATTAACCTTAACTTTTATGGTGGACTGACCATGGCTGAATACCAGGTGCCCTCAAAACTGTTTTATCACTCCCTACCACAGCAGCACTGGGAGAGGGAAGAGAAAATGAAATGGAAAAATTTGTGGGTCAAGATAAAGGCAGTTTAATAAAACAGAAACAAATTTTGGAAAGACAGCCTTGATGTTGTGTGAACACTGCTCAGAAGTAGCCAAAACTCTGGGTTGTTATCAGACCCTTTGAGCTGGCAGTGCACAGCACTGTGAGGGCTGCTCTGGGGAACAGGAGCTCCATCCCAGCCTGACCCCACACAACTTCACTGGCTGTACTTTTTTTATCATGAATCCTGCAACATAATAAAGATAAATGTATCCTCTTAAGATGCATCTGTTACCTCTTTAAATGTGAACAGCTCTGTGAAGATATCATAATGGCTGTATGCTTGAACACCAGCTCCCAAAATGCACAGCACTTCTGCAAAAGCTGGCATTAACAACTGAAGAGTATCAGAAATAAAAAAAAAAAAAGAAAGAGAATAAGTAAGGACAATACATTAACAGGTATTACAAATATATATCAAAATAGTACAAAAGACAGCAGTATTGTTATCCCTTTTAAACAACAAAAAAGTACATAAATAAATATTCAATAATCATTATATATATAGGGTTGTTTTTTTATGCAAAAGAAAGCATCAGTAGCACCAAAGTACAACTTTGCTTAATTCCAGTGTTGAATTGTCAGACTCGAAATTCAGATTTAAGATGCAACATCATGAACAGCAAGTTCTGCAGCCTCAGCACACTCCAATATTAAACCATCCATGTGGCTGATTAAGTGTAAAACCACAGTAAAAACTAGTTCTGGCAGCCCCACACGGACCCACCTCTGAATTTACTGAAGCCACAAATCACACCACAAGTGTATCTTGGCCTTGCAGGAGCCATAATATACAGACATTGTAAAAGTAGGGATGGTTCTGAGGAACAAATAATAAAATTCAGTTCTACAGTTGCTTTTGGCATTCTGGTTTCTTGTCTGTGATTCACCAGTACTTGGCAAAGGGAAAGACAGAACTGCTGGAGTCCAGCCCTAACCTATCCTTGTATCTTGTTTATGCATTTGCTGTGGCCACTCACTCTTGTCTAAAAAGCTTTAGAATTGTCTAGGCTCTCAAGGTTTAGTCTGCTGCAAACAAATGGAAAAAAAATCTCATTGATCCCATTTTTCAGTAATAAGAATTTGTTTTAATGTGCCTTTTAAAGACTATGAAGCACCGATTTCAAAGGTCCTTTGCATAAGAGCAGGGGTCTTTGAAAAGCAAATGCCTTAAAGAAGACAAGATGACTAATATGAGCTAAACTCAAACACTCCTGAAAATTTCCAAAACAACAGATGACAATGAATTCACTCAATTTTATGCCAGTGTAGCTCCATTGCCATGGATAGAGTCACCCTGGCATGAAGACTGCCCCTAACAAAATGGTGAGATCAGCCTTCATTCTGATGCAGAGCTGAGGAGCAACAATTTTTCAGCTCTATTTTTCCCCTCTTCTTATTGCCTCAGCTTTTGAGGTGAAGGCTACCCTCTTCTTATTGCCTCAGCTTTTGAGGTGAAGGCTAAAACCTTGCTGTGTAATGCATGGTCATTTGCTATCTTCCTGCTGTTAGCAGCCCAACAAAAAAAATAGCTTTTAAAAAAGAATCTCAACAATTTCCAACTGAAATTGAAGTGACATAAAGCAACACACAGCCAGATACACCTTACTTGTCTTTAAACACTGAAGTTTATGGCTATGGTATGGGACAATTATCTGGGCATCTTCCAGTGACAACAGAGACACTGACAGACAGACACCTCTGGACAAGTTATCCATCTATACTGGGCATCATCTACCTTAAGAGAAATGGAAATGTGCTTTTTCTCTCTTTTTACAGGTCCAGTGCAACCCACCTGTCCTGTCCTGACAGCAGGAGGCATCTATCTAAATAAAACTCAATATATCACCACAGCTCCATCACTAAAAGCCATAAAGGGGCATGTTAACACAAGCACAAAAGAAAGAAAATACAGTGAAAGACTGCTCAGTAAATTTCTAGAAGAGGGTGCAATAGAAGGCACAAAAATATAGCTCAGGTTTCTTCTCCAATCACACACGAAGTGTTAAAGCCAGACATGACTGACTCAAAACAGTGAGTTCAAGTTTTCCCTGAAAGTGCATATGTTATGATAAATATCATTTAAGCTGTATTAGATGAAAATCCATTTGCATAATTTATTCCAGTTATTCTACAAACCCCACTTAAGAGAACAGAAGACACACCTTGGTAGCAATGGCAGAAACTGCAGCTGTTCGTTTTGCTGTAATGACACTGCCATCCAAGACCTTTAAAACAATTGAAACAGACTGAAGAGAACACTGAAAAATGAATAAATACTAAACATTTTCATCCACTTTGTGAATGATGTGATATTACAGATATAAAAGATAAACACATGTAGAAGTTGACAACTATTATCATAGCAACCACAAACCGTACAAAGTCACATTTAAACTGGGCAGATTCTCTGTTTATTCCAGTTCTTCCATATCATTACATCAGCACAAAAAGAGTGAAAATGGTCAGAGAAGAGCTACCTCTAACTCACCCAGCTCCTGATGCACTGCACTTCCTTGGCTCTCCAGCACAGGGAATGCATGGATATGACTCCCATATTCTGCACTCCAGGAAGACCAGGGACCAGTGTAAGCTAGAGTGGTTCCCCAGTCTGCACTGTCCTGGTCTGTACAGGGGGACGACAGGGAACCATGGAATTCCTCAAATGTGTGTCACACACGAGACACTCCTGCCTCGATGTCCAATAGCTACTGCATACACATTAATTATGGGGCCAAAAACCCAAGGGGTGTGGTAGAAGAACCCAAGATAATTTTCTTGACCAGTTTTGGCCCTTTAACAAATCATTATTACTAAAGTGAAAGCCAAATCATTGCTACTCTTAAAAAAAATAATCTTAAATTCTTTAAATAAAGGAAAAGTAATCAGACTCTGAATACTTTTCCCTGCAGTGCAAATTGTAAATCTCTTTCAACTTGAGATGGCTCAAGATCCATTCTTTACCCAGCAAGGTAGAGGGTATTTTTGCTTTCAAATGCAAGATAAACTTCTCCTTATCATTTTTCTCTTCCAGTTACCCTCTGAGCTATCAGATTCAAACCACAAGCAGCAGCAAATAGCACAGTGAGTACAATTTAACATTAACGAAAGATAGGCAGCTTTACGCCAAATCCTGTTGGTAAACTCAGGCCAATTTACACCGAAGAAACAGAAGAGAGAACTGACAGCATGAGCAGAGAAGAATGCAGGACACACGAGACTTACAGCTTTCAAAGTACCATTGCTGGGGTCAAATAGGAGGACAGTCGCTTGGTGAGAAGGCACAGAGGAGTCCTTCAGGTGCTCATAAAAAGTCACCAACTTGGTTGTCAGCGCATCGTCTGCAGCACTGTAGGCGGGCATGACCCCGAGGTACCTGGGGGGAGAATTACCCGCGTTATCAGGGGAGCTCACAGCCAGCGGGCTGCCACCGTCACCGCCCGGTTAACCCGCTACCAAGGGCCTTTTGTGAAGCTCCAGATCCGCCCCCGTTGCCGCTATCCCCGCTCGCCGTGGCAGCCCCGCCGTGGCCTCCCCCGCCGTGCCGGGGCACGGGCAGCACGGTGCGCACGGGCTGCAC